CAGACCTCCTTCAGCCAATGTAAGTAGTACAAATCATACGGGTAGCCCTCTGTTGGGATTGTTTCCACGACCTTTGGAGGCAAAATGTTGATATTAATTGGCCATTTTACAGTTGTATACACAGTGTCCTGACTTGTTTTCTCTCATCGTTTTTTTAACGATCCTTGGGAGTTTTTAGACAAAGCGGGCCAATACAGTTCTCTATCTTGCAAAGTTTTCAAACGTTCGAATCGAAATGGTATTTACAGTATGACAGCCCAAAACCTTCGTCGTCCATATGGCCCACGATCTAAGATCGTCGCTATGCGGACTGCCAAAAGTGAGTTTGATATTCATTCATTTATTTGACTTAATTAAATTCACTGGTCCAAGATTATCTTGAGGCTAGATTGTCCCGTTCACTTTTACGCTTTTTTCAACTAAACTTTCTCGAAACAGCTGTACAATCGGTTTACGTCTATTTTACATGTATAGCTTCAGACCACGTACACACTTATTTGGTAACCCGTGTAAACACGTTCAATGTTGTGGTCCACACTAGTTCGGGTGATCGTTTACCAATCGTTACGCGACTGTTTACATGGTGGCAACAAAAGGCATGGTTAACTCTCAGATCAACCTCGTCCAAAGGATCTTCTCGACTCGTTTTTCGATATGGCCTCCGACATATTAGAAAACGAGAAGACCCTGGGGATGAGGTTGCTAACAGATTTCTATTTTTCCCGAGTATGTGTTGTAACTGATGACGCCAGCAAACAGCAACGAAGTTATGAGGTGCGAGAATATAACCGTTAGGCTAATTTGGGGCCTTCCGGTTTTCGACTTAAGACGGAAAACATGAACGGAGAGAGTTATTTGTTAATGAACTCATCATCTGCTTTGTCGACCTTAGTACAGAGTTACAAATTGGAGAAAGCTATTTACCTTTTGCTCCTGCGCATCAATAACGTGAACCCGATTCCCAGGCATGTCGCTGAAGAAGATGAGTTTGTCTCTCACCACTGTATTGCGACCGAACGAACAGTTATCCCTGGTAAAATACAGAAGATATCACAATTTCTATTGTATTCTCAAACTCATTAATAAGTCAAAAAGAAAATTCAACGGAAATTAATGTTTAATGAGTGTTTGGAAATCAGATGAAAAACTGCTCATTTTTGCATCCTTGATCTCTCCTTGTAAAATCATTTTCAGTGTTTGAGAAGTAAAATCAAGCATTGCGACACAATGTTTCATCACCAGATGAATGACGAGGTTAATGCGGGGGGATTCGGAACGGTTCCTCACGTAAGCCTTGACTGCAATTTAGTTCCAGTTCATTTTTGAATTCTTTATCGTCGTTTCTAACTCGTGTTTGTTGTTTCTACAGTTGTCCTTGAAGACGCGCGCTATGGACGTGGTTATGGGAGTGCAAAGCATGTACGAAACCATCCTACACAACTAAAACCCAGCGGCACCCAGTAAAGAGGTTCATTTGCTGAGAATTTCCGCACGTTTAAAAATAAATCGGCTAAAAATGTTCAAATAGAGTAAACTGAAATAAATACATTTGGCGTCAAAAGTTTCTAACTGTGTTGTGTTTTATACTTCGCGGTGTTTGGCGGGAAACGCCACCTGATGTGCATTAAAAAGGCAAGGATCTGAGGGCAACACGTCGATAGTTTCTCAATCTTCCCCCTACGGTGACCAATACACTTTTCACCTCAGTTTACAAAGTCTTTAATTAACACCACAGTTTCTTTACAAACTAAACCCATCATACGTCGATAAAGACACTTACTACTCTAAACAGTTACTTGTCTTCTAATTTATGTTTTGCTTCTAAGACATTGATTGATTGTCCAGTCAAACTGAGCTATGGTCCTCCACTCCTGATCTTGAGTCCTCTAACTATCCTGCAGAAAGTTATGATTGCGCACATTTTATCCATTATTTGTCCATACTTCTCCTAACTTCATCTCCACCTCTTCCCCAGTTGTAAGTACTACACGGCCTTCTTACCCTGTTTTCCTACTATATTGACTCCGATGAGACCAAATTCATTACTCAGTTCTCTTTATTAACAGTAGAGACAGCTACGTAAAATATATAACCATGCATTAAATGCACGCATTTTGGTGGGAATCTGTGCCTGCCCTTCTCGTTACTAAAAAAAGAAAAATCACATTAAATATTGATGCGGGTTATTGTATCCCGAACACACCCTATAAAATTTGGAGGACAAACTAGTGGTGGCGTAAATTGATTTTGGCGAAAGTGTTTCTAAAAGACTTTTCCTTACGAGGTGTAAACATAGCCTTAGAATTTCCTTTCTTTTAGCCGGCCATCAACATGTACAGAGTATACAGCAAGGTGAACATCACAATCGCCTTTGAACCACAAAAGCTTCTTCCAGCTCCTATGGGATTCGGACTAGGTGAGTATGCTGCCATCCCCCTACCCTTAACCACGCCCTTTACCATCCCATACAGCTCTTGTGTGGCGATGTTGATGATGGCAAAGGATTGGTCAGCAGTGGCTGGAGTCACAAGCCAGGGACCCGATGCTACCAACGGTCGACTTACGGAGTGCATACCGGGTGCCGAATATACGCTTCCAACATTCACGATGTAGTTGATTTGGCGGTTTCCAGCGTCGAGAGAGTCGAGATCTAGCACTGCTATCTTGTCGCTGTAAATAAGACTGATGTAAGCAATAAAACTTCCCTTCTTTTCGACCTTCTCATAATAAACAAGGTCGCTCACGCCACCAGCGATATCTAATGTGGACTTCAAAATGGTAGCACTGTCCTTGCCAGGAATAACCAGCACATAAACTTTACTAGCAAGGAGCAGGTTCGTCGACTCGTTGACAGATTTGTAGAGTGCGACGATGTAGCGGCCATCGGGTGAAACATACGGGACCCCAGCGATGTTCCACTTACGAACAATTGTGTCATTGGTGAGATTCATCTCCAACAGTGCAACCCTGGTACGCGATCTAAAGCAATCAAAGAAGGCGTGTTTGTTCACAGGGCTGTAAACGAAGTTCAGAGTTCCGGTGCAGTCGTAGTCAGAAACGTTAACAAAGGTCTTGTATGCCTTGGCTATGAGGTCGATTTGGTGTAGGCCTGGGTTGAACAAGTGAGTGATGTAACCAATTTTACCGTCTTTCACCTCTGGGTCAGCGAACATGTACCCGTGTGTCCAACCTAAGAACGTATACAGTTCGACAAGAGCTTTGTCAGCGTACAACTTGGGTAAAACAAAATTACGGAGGGATTTCTACGAAATGCTAACAAATTGAAGCTAACAAACACATCTGTAGCCGGACTCAGACCGCTAACAGAAAACATGCATGATCACGCATCGCTTTTTTTAGTTTCCCCATTCTAATGTGTAATCTTTAGATAAATGATCTAATTGGGTTTTTTTTTCGACAGCAAAGCAAGACTACCCTTAATGGACAAAGGAAATTTAACCTACACCCGCGTTCTGTAAAGGCGGAGTTAAAAAGTCCATTCCAGATCCGTAAAATTCGCAGGACGAACTTACAACTGTTGCCTTGCGCGGTGAGGCTAAACTCTTTCAATCTTTTAAAAGATGCAATCCGCCGAGAAAAAGTTGAAATTTATGATACGTTAAGATAAGCTCAGATTTCGTTTTTCACTGGTTACACACAAAAAAATGACGCCAACACTCAACCAACACTCTGTACTGACCTGGTTGCACATGCGCCTTGATAGCCTTGTGCGTCTTTTTCAGGCTTCCATCGGTGTTGATGACGTCAAAAGTAGAGCTGGTCCAGGCATGTACCCAGACCTCCTTCAGCCAATGTAAGTAGTACAAATCATACGGGTAGCCCTCTGTTGGGATTGTTTCCACGACCTTTGGAGGCAAAATGTTGATATTAATTGGCCATTTTACAGTTGTATACACAGTGTCCTGACTTGTTTTCTCTCATCGTTTTTTTAACGATCCTTGGGAGTTTTTAGACAAAGCGGGCCAATACAGTTCTCTATCTTGCAAAGTTTTCAAACGTTCGAATCGAAATGGTATTTACAGTATGACAGCCCAAAACCTTCGTCGTCCATATGGCCCACGATCTAAGATCGTCGCTATGCGGACTGCCAAAAGTGAGTTTGATATTCATTCATTTATTTGACTTAATTAAATTCACTGGTCCAAGATTATCTTGAGGCTAGATTGTCCCGTTCACTTTTACGCTTTTTTCAACTAAACTTTCTCGAAACAGCTGTACAATCGGTTTACGTCTATTTTACATGTATAGCTTCAGACCACGTACACACTTATTTGGTAACCCGTGTAAACACGTTCAATGTTGTGGTCCACACTAGTTCGGGTGATCGTTTACCAATCGTTACGCGACTGTTTACATGGTGGCAACAAAAGGCATGGTTAACTCTCAGATCAACCTCGTCCAAAGGATCTTCTCGACTCGTTTTTCGATATGGCCTCCGACATATTAGAAAACGAGAAGACCCTGGGGATGAGGTTGCTAACAGATTTCTATTTTTCCCGAGTATGTGTTGTAACTGATGACGCCAGCAAACAGCAACGAAGTTATGAGGTGCGAGAATATAACCGTTAGGCTAATTTGGGGCCTTCCGGTTTTCGACTTAAGACGGAAAACATGAACGGAGAGAGTTATTTGTTAATGAACTCATCATCTGCTTTGTCGACCTTAGTACAGAGTTACAAATTGGAGAAAGCTATTTACCTTTTGCTCCTGCGCATCAATAACGTGAACCCGATTCCCAGGCATGTCGCTGAAGAAGATGAGTTTGTCTCTCACCACTGTATTGCGACCGAACGAACAGTTATCCCTGGTAAAATACAGAAGATATCACAATTTCTATTGTATTCTCAAACTCATTAATAAGTCAAAAAGAAAATTCAACGGAAATTAATGTTTAATGAGTGTTTGGAAATCAGATGAAAAACTGCTCATTTTTGCATCCTTGATCTCTCCTTGTAAAATCATTTTCAGTGTTTGAGAAGTAAAATCAAGCATTGCGACACAATGTTTCATCACCAGATGAAACACCTCGAAGTTCGTCAAAAATACTCCGCTGCACCTGCGCGTCGTATTTTCAACTCTCTTCTCAGTCTTTCAGTCTTGTCTCATCTGGTGATGAAACACTGCCTCTCATGCTAGATATATATTTACATCAACGCAAGGAATGTGAAAAATTTCGGCAAACATTATTGTTTAGGCATGCTCACCTGGAATACCTGTTATTTGATTTGGTACAAACCCTATCAGGACCGATTGTAGACAAAATAGCTTTGGTCTTTGGATCTACGATGTAGATGCCCTCTGATCCAAACACGTAAAAGACAACACGTTGATCATTTTGCTTCGGAGTAGCATTACCAACCCTACAAGAAACTAAACACAAAATCAAAGACATTAAAAAAGCTAAACGATAGCTTCGCTAGATAAACATTTTTTCTTATTCTCCTGGCCCTCCTCTTTTTTCTTCTTTTCTGCTTTCTCCTACTTCTTCATCCCACGATGTTGCCAAAACTGGAGAAGAGAGGAAGGAGAACTGGGAACGATCACGAAGAACGGGAACTAGGTAAAATGGGAAAAAACCTAACTATATCCCATTTTTCATTTTTCCTGTTACCCCTGCTCATTCCCCTTTCCCCACCGGCTGTCCGTTCCCCAGTTTCAGGTAACATCTTGAGTCCTAGCCTGGCAAGAAAGCTCTGTACAGTAGCCTGAGGAAACAGCCGATATTGCTGGTTTGCCCGTGACGTCACGGCGGCCATGTTGGTGGTCAAGAACAAAAGCATTTCTCTCCTCTGGGAACTAAACTCTATTTTCATGGAAATTCTTTGAGAAAAACTCTATTGTATTGACCCTCAACATGGCCGCCTTGTCACGTGGTTGCAAACCAAGAATTTTGCGACACCACGACTAAATTTCCCGCGAAATGACGTCTGAGGAACGGGCAGAGAAATTCCATACTTGTGACGTGTCACTATCCAGGTCAGGGTAGTGCTTAGGATTGGCCACCATTGCCAACAGGAAACTTAAGCAACGGTGACGGTGATGGCGACGGCAAAGAGAACGGCGAAAAAGCAATAGGTTTAGATAGGCAAAACAACAAGCCTGCATATGTATCACGCTTTTTAGTACTTTCTTTTTGCTGTCCATCGTTGCACGACTACGACGTGAAACTTCCTCGGTTTCAAGTTTTATGATGGAGGACGTTAACGCAAGACAGCCATTTTCTCTTTCTTTTTCTGAACTTAGATACAGTTCTTTAGAATCAGCTCCAGAAGAATTTCCCAAAAACTTGCATGAAATGGAATGAGAATAATGAAGTTTGAAACAGCGCGAACTCGCTTTCTAAGGGCCTGTTTACATGGGGGTGGGGGACCCCAGGTAGGTGAGGTAACCCGCTTTGGTGGGGTAAACCGCCTGTCCATATAATCTCTCATTTTAATTCGATCACATTTACATGATAGGTGGGGTGACCCGCCACGTGTTACCTCACCTATCTGGGGTCCCCCACCTCCTTGTAAACGGCTTTAAGTGACGTTTTCGCTGCCGTTGCCGTCGTGGTTGCTTATAAGCTCCCTGTCGCCTGGTCCCTGCACGGTGTCTTCCCAGGCCTTCTCGGTCAATGCTAGCCGAAACAAACTCGTTACGACTATGTGACTCAAAACGCATAGGCCGCGCGGAATCATTAGGCCTAGGGATTCATGTTATCTAGTGCTTTCCAGGGACTAGGCAACGTCTGTCCATAATTTGGGATTTTCACGTTACCCATAATGCAATTTGTTTTTTCCTATTGCCTCGGTGAAGTGCCGGAGGCGATTGCTTACAAGTGCTTTAAATTTAACTGATTTGACTTTCATTGAGTAACAAAGGACGAAATGCAATATCATTGGGAAGATGTTGCTTGCGAGGCAACTTAGAGGAATGTCCCCTGGGGGGGGGGAGGAAGGGGGGCACGTCTCAGCTTTTGTTCCTCGCAAGCCACCACCACCGTCTTGGCATAGGCTCACAATTGGTTGACTCCATACATCTTTTTATTTCATCATTTATAATGAAATTATTATCATACCTTATTATAGGAAATTAACGCTCCATGAAATTAACGCGAATCGTTAAAATTCGCGTTAATTTTGTTAAGCGTTAATTTCCGCGACGTTAATTAAGTGATTTTGAGATAAATATTAGCGATAAAAAATCACGAAGTCAAAAAAAAAAAAGAAAAACAACAACGGAAATAAAACAATGTTAACAAGAACTACTCTAAACAAATAATTTGGCGCGAATTGAATCGCACTGAATGAATGTTATCAGGAATGGTTGCCGCCTAGACACCACGGTTTACAGAAAACCAACGGACACTGGACTTCTGCTACACTACCACAGTCACGTTGACGCCAGATACAAACGGTCACTCCTGAACACCATGCTTAACCGTGCGTTTAAACTCTCGTCTACGTGGAGGTTTTTTCACAAGGAATGTGAACGCCTTAAAGAGATCTTCTCCCGACTGCGCTATCCAGACGACCTTGTGCAGTCAACCATTCGCCAATTCATTGCATCCAAAGTGTCCGAGGATTCACACACCCAAGTGGCTGATAAAAGAGAAGCC